ATAGAAATGTCTTGAATTATGCAACAGATATATACGTTTATTTTCTCGACGGACTTTTGGGACATCCTGTATATATCTGTTGCATAATTCAAGACATTTCTATATTCTTTTTATAAGATGATAGTATGTTTTCATATGATTTGCTTTACAAGAAATTGTTAAAATGATTACCACCAATTTCCATTCTTGATTTTCATTGTGAATTCAGCCGCGTCTTTATGTATGCCATATACATCTGGGCTTTGACTTTATATTTATCGATAAATCATTTAAATGAAAAACGGTTATGTTCGAAAAACAAGAACTTCTCGTGAGTGTTGAAGTTTCCCAACTTTAGTGTTAAAGTTGGGAAACTTCAATTCAATTTTGTCAGTCTTCTTCATGAAGTTTTTCGATAAAACATACTTTGTATGGTTCCATAAGAAGATATTCTCTCATAATTCAATGTGGTATTGTTCGTAGTATGAAGTAGACTGCTTTAACAGCCTGCAAACTCGATAGTGCCTCTTTTTACGAAAATTGTGAACTTCATCGATTTTTTCTTCTGTAATTCGTGAAGGCTTTAGACAGAATTCTTGTTTTGTTACTATAATACTTTTGCAAAAGGGTTGAAAAGTATCTCTAATATACTCTAAGTCTAGCATTTTTTATATCAAACTCCACTTAAAGTTTGCATTTCACAACTATGCATTACTCAATTTTGACTTCTTATGAAACTATTTGTATCATAATGTCTGTAGACATAGACATTAATCTGAAAATGTGTAGAATAAAAACTTCAAAGAGCAAACTATCATATTATAAAAAGAATATAAAAATGGCTTGAATTATCTAAGTGATATTCACATTTACTTTCCCAACCGACTCTTGGGACACTCTGCATAGATATTAATGGATACTCTTTGTAATGTAACTTGCAAAAAACATATATGTGGTCGGTATCTGTAATCATTTATATAACGCGGGCATCTCCGTTAAGTGAGCTATTTCAAAAAGTCCCGTAGGTGTCCATCTAACGAAGGTTTTACTCTATATAAATATATGATTGCATAATCAATAAATTTTATTCATGGATTAAAAATATTTTTGAATAGTATATATGACAAGTAGCGTGGATCGAGGTGATCCACTGAGTTCCTTGATTTTACAAAGTCTTTTATCATTTAGACGCCTCTTTTTCCACCACAATAACTGAGCTTGAGGTAATGTACTCTTCTGTCTGCCTTCATATTCTCCATTATGACATTGCACGACTACCACCATAATATAGCCCTTGAGGACCTATAAGTACTATGAAAGAATTTTTTTCTTCTCTCAATAGATTTGAACTACTACTAGGCATGCACCTGCACCAGTTAACTAAATACCAGTCCGACTGGGCACCCAGTGTAACTAGGCATATATTTAACTGATTTATCATCGGTAGTTTTCGCCCGTACAATAGTGGAGAAAACCATGACCCAAATAACAGTTTCTCTTCTTTCTCTCTCTTTCCTTCTCTACTGTCGTTAGGAGATAACATTGGGTTGTTCGCGGCGAATTATAGAGGGCCCCTGAAAACCTCCAATCAACATGGACAGCACTATGTTTCGCCTGTAAGACGGCAGAGAAAGTGATGATCCAAATAACGGCAGTTACCCTGTCGACAAACATACAGTCAATTTCGAGTTTTAGACTCTGACTACAGTCAAGGAAATTAACGAATTTTCAATATATATTCATGAGAAAAATCTCAATCAATCTCTGAGTTTTTCGTAGTACACAAAACTAAGTGAAGATTTTGATTATTTTACTTAATTTCTGTTCGTTTAAACTGTTGTATGAGCATTGAGGAAATGAACAAAAAATATTAAGTTCAATCTTACTGAACATTCATTATATACTAGACAGTGTACTGATCATTCAACTGTTCTTTACTTGACCCGAGGAAAATCAACTTTTTTCTTTACAATTTATATGAAACTGTTAATTAAATTATTCCAATTTCTGTACAAATAATTTTTTTACGAAGAAATTCGATTCACACAACTTTCCTTTTCTTTTCAGTGGTAGGCTGAAATTCACAGCCGAATGATTATGACATAAGATGGCCAATTTAGTTGAAGTTATTGAAAGAAACTCCCAACTTCGTAAATGTTGAAGTTTTGTGTGAAATTCACATATACTTTTGAAGAAAATAGTAAATTTTAAGTTGAACTTTGCGACTCTGCGCCCTTTCCTGCATTAAAGACATTTACCAGCAGGCTTCCATTACAAATCACAGCAATCAAGATCAAAGTTGATTAAGTATGAACTTTTCGCTAGCAATGGAGAACTACAAACATCAGAGTTTTTTCCAATAGGTTTTAAAATTAAAA